AATAGTAACAATAGTAACAAGGCTCAATAGCTCAGTAGTAACAAGGCTCCACAGTCACCTGGGCAGTGAGAGTGCTGAACCTCTCAGATCCCAGTTCTGCTACTGCAGAGCGTGACAAATAGTGTTGGGGTTTTTTTATCTCTGAAATAACCTCCTAAATAGCTGCTTCAGGACTGCTTAATGCAGGACTACTCCTGATTAATAAGATGACAGTCCAGTCTTGGGATTCCAACTCCTTCATACCAGAAGGTGTCACAGGCACCAGAGAAACATGCAGTGCATGGTCCCCCTCCTCCACCTGCACAGAAAAAAAATCGTGTGCCTTCAGCAGAAAATAAACCCATGCAATCAAATACCAGAGAGAGGTGGGGGAAAAGTCAGACAAGTGAAATAGATGGATCAGATTCCAGCATGCCCCAAAGGTCACTCTGTGCAGGGCCTGCCGGAGGGAAGGTGGGAGCAGTGTCACTCCTCCAGGGAGGGTGCCAAGCTACCAGTCTCTTGATGATTAATCCTGGAGAGCAGGAGGCAGTGGAGAACACTCTGCCAATTGCAAATGTGGTGATGGGGCACTGGGGGCATATATATGCATCATTAGTCATCTGCAAGAATTTTGTTTTTGTAACCTCTGCATTTTTATCTGTCACTTCAAGCAATAAATATGCACTCCCGCCAGTGATTTGACATTACACTTGCTTTGGATGGTTGCCTTTCCCAAATATTAATAGTAACTCATTGTGGACACAGCATTGGTATTTAGTTAGATCAGACCAGCTTCTTTTAAAAAACAACTTTTCGTATAAAGAGAACAGATGTTTTTAATTTACACAAAGAACAAAAACAAAGTTCTATTGTTCCATTATAGTGAACACAAACATTACAGACACAGAGAAATTAACACCAATTGCATGTTAAAAAAAAAAAATTAAAAGCCCATCAAGGTACAGGTCTGCTTATTTGTGCTTTTTCCACCACTTTAATGGCTTAGTGGCATGCAATGATAGCAACTGTTGCTTTTTGGAATTCATATGCATTTGAGTGTAGTATGTTTTAAAGATAAAAATGGCATAAACACAAGGGCAATTTCTAAATACACATTATATAGACAATAATAATAATAATAATTATAATACTTCAATAATAACAGATGAAGAATGTAAACTCTCATAGTCCAGAGCATAAGCCAACTACTTGCTCATGGGAATAGGAAGAAATTGCCTCTTTACGCTGATTTTTCTATAGTTGTTCCTTACAGGTATATTTTCTCCTGCACCATCTGCACAAAAGAGTAAGGCCTCAAGCCTCTGAAACAAGAATGTGCACACGAGGACAAACGAGCAGTGACATCAGTCTCTGAAGTTATCTTGTGCCATGGTATGAAGTCCAACCAGAACTATCTTTCTATGCTATTTCAATTCAAGAATTCAAGAGCCTTTTGAATGCATTTACAAGCTCCTGGTGCATGTGGGTGGGAGCAGAGCTCAGGCTCATGTTCCTGCCAAGGTGACCAAGCTTGTTCCAGAACAGCAATGCTACCCTGCAGGTGGAGGCCACTTGCACATCTCTGTCTCACAGACACCCTGAGAAAACACTTCTCAGAGATAAAGCTTTATACCATTCACATTTCTCACCTTCTGAACTCACAACCTGCTTATCTAATTCTCATCTTACTCCAAGGCATATTTTTTTTCCCATGGAGAAGCATCTCTGCTAGAATCTCCTTGAAGATTTTCTAGAGTCTGTCTCTAGTTGACAGCCACATCCTACCTTCTTGAGCAGCCACTTCTAGGTTTAGAAACACTGACAAAAATATTTCTATCACTATTTAAGGTTTGCCAGTCCTGCAGTAGGAAGAGGATGAGCAGGGCAGAGATACCTTATATTGGCTTTTCCCAACTCATAAGTATAAGCAAAGATTCTATATAAGCAAAGACTGTTGCTCAGAGAAGTTGTGGATGCCCCATCCCTGGAATTGTTCAAGGCCAAGTTGGATGGAGCCCTGGGAAACCTGATCCAGGGGAAGGTGTCCCTACCCATAGCAGAGGGATTGGAATTGGATGATCTTTAAGGTCCTTTCCAACCCAAACCATTCTGTGATTTTATGGTTCCGTGAATCTGCCTTCGATACATTAAAACAAAACTTTGCCCCATTCCCTCTCCCATTGCTCACTACTTTGTTTTTGTGAATCTGCCTTTGATACATTAAAAAAAAATTTGCCCCATTCCCTCTCCCATTGCTCACTAGTTTGTTTTTTTGGTCCAGTAATGGGCGCCATTTTACTATATCTCACACTCAGACTAAGTATCAAACAATGACGCTTACTTCAGATCAACACACAGGATATAGTGGGGAAAAAAAACAAAAACCAAAGAAAAAAAACACCAAAAACAAGCAAACAAAAAAACCCACCAAAACCAACCTCCTTGCATTTTAACCAATAAAGTTAAAAGAAATAAAGTTAAAAGGCCTGGGACACAAAAAATTGAAAATCTTTTTCTGTAGTATTCGTGTAACCTGGGGATTTCAGTGCCACAGAAAAACAGACACAAACACCATGACTCAAAGGGCTGGAGCCTTTTTCCACCAGTGAAAACAAGCCTCACTGGGAGAGGTGCTGCTCCAAGTGGCTGGTTTTAAACCTTCTAACACATTATATAATACAAAGCCCAGGTCCAGACCCATGCAGGCAAAAAAAGAGAAACCAAAACATTACATTCAAACAGTACCTTTCAGCTCAAAAGAACCCAGGCCATGAATCATTTTATCCACCGCAGAATGCCATCACCTCGAAGCTGAAATGCAGCAGCTGTTTATTACCCTGCAAGAACATTAAGATGGGTGCTCCTTTGCAGCCAAAACAGCAAGGAAAACTGAGTAGACAAATAAAACAACCTGGAACACATAGGCTTACCCTCCTTACCTTTATAATGAGTACCAGAGGAACTTTAGGGACCACAAGCAGCTGATGCTTCCAGACGCCCAGTGCTAACAATGCTTTCCACAGCACTTAAGGGATCCTTGGAAGCCAAAAGCATTTGACCTGGACATGCTTTGCTTTGCTTGGTTGACAGCGAGGCCAAGAGTTGGCTATTACACACTGACCACAATTTCTATGTCACATCCAAAGTCACTTCTGCCACACTTAGAACCAAATTAATGCCAGAAACACAGTAATCAAGACAGTATGAGCTGCCCAAAGATGCAGAAATTTGTCTCACTGCTTGTGGCAGCTAATTGCAGTTGTGTACCTGCCCTGACAGTTGATTGCTAATTAATAAATTGCGATCATGCTCTGTCAAACATGGCTCCCTCAGACCCTGACTCACAGTATCTCGGGGAGATGCTACACGTCTCTTGGAAGTGGCTTATCAAAATTGGAACAGTTTGCTATCCAAATATACTGAAGTTTTCACTCAAAATTCAAAATCTCATTGTTACACCACACTCATCACTGTGGTATCTGAGTACGGCCATTTCCAGCAGAATTCCAGCTCCAGCTGGATTCCATGAAGAGTCACTCGGATGCAGAGTTAATGGGGCCAGGATCATGCAGCCAGTCCTGCATGGGCTCATGAGAAGTTGTGGCAGAAGCTGGACTTCAGCTCCCAGTGAATGAGAAAGGGTCTTGTGGCCAAAGGACATTAATTAGGAGATTGCTAAAGCCCTGGGGCTCCATTCCAGAGCACTCACACAAGATGTGTGCCACTGTTCCCTGCTGCTGTGCAAAGCGACCCTGTCTGGCAGGGCAGTGGTGGGGGTACTGCTGTTACTGCACAGGTCTTCTGAGACAGGGAGAGATCACACCGATTGCACTGTGTCCTGGGAGTGGATGTGCCCACTGGGTTTTGTTTATCCCACAGTGGTGTGAAGTGCACAGCAAAAACAATCTGTTCTACAGCACAGCTCTGTCTGTTTCACAGGCTCATGCCTGTGAAACAAAGTAAGGTAAGAATGTTTGGTCAATGGCCCAAAATGGGGGCAAAAAGGAAACTGACCTCTGGGTTGAAATGGCTAAAATGTCAACCTAAGTCTCTTGTACTCCTCACCCTGCCCTGGCTCATCCATGCCACACAAGCTGTATTTTTAGCTCTCCAAGCCTCTCAGCCTTTCTTTCCTGGGTCACTTGCAGTCCCAGAGAAACAACTCCCATTATGAGCAAAGACTTTCCCAGGCAAGATGCTTGGCCATTTACAGACCTGCACATGGTCTGACTGATACAGAGATATTGCAGCACTTCTGAAAACAAGATGTTTTCACCAAAACACTCTCTGATAATCAAACAAATCAAAGGGCAACCTAACTGGATCCACAAAAGCAAAATGTGCAGCTGCCAAAGTACTGCTGTTATCTCTGGCATGGCTGGGTCACTGAGACATTTCACAGAAACAAAAATGTATTTCCTGTGTAGACCCAATTAAAATACCTCTGGAGAAATGTTTCATGTGTTCTAAAGACCTGAAGCTAGAGCTACCCAACTGGCCTGTAAGGAATGAGAATACTTCCCAGGGGTTGATGGAAAGCACCAAGTCTGCCGTACTCATTACATTAGGCTCAGCAGCAGCCTCTGACCTTGCAAATATCTGGCAGGAGGGTGCTGTGCCCTCCCAGAGAGAGGGAGCTGCCTCCCCTGCTGGGAGTGAGCTCTGATAACATTGGAGGGCACTCCAGGATTCCACCCAGGTGTCCTTCCACAGCAGAAGCCACTGGCCTCTCCTGGTCCACACACAAGGTTTGGAGAAGACAGCACAGTCTGTGAAAGGAAACCTGTACCCTCCTCCTGGGTCTGACCAAGTTCCACCTGCACACCTGGGTCTGCTTTACTTCACAGGGAGGAGGGCTTTGCTGCCCATGCACAGGTCTCTGGGGACACATGGAGGCTGTGGGTCACTTGCTGCACAGGTAACAAGACCTTGGTTTTCACCTCCTTAATTTTCCATTTTGATATTTTATTTTTTCTCTCTGTTCTCCCTATTATTAGTTCATGTGCTTATACTGCAGGATCTGGCTGTTTTTCTTCCTGTTCTGGCTGGGACAAGGCAGGCGGATGGCTCCCCCAGGTTGGTGAAACATGATAAAAGCAGAGTGGGGACAGAGGCAAGGATGAGAACTCGGTTATTTTGCTCATAACACAATGTGCCTCTTCTCTGCCCTCCAGTCCCACTGACTCATCAGCTCTATATGTGCTCCCACTAGGTTTTGTAGAGAGCAGTTGCCGCTCCAGAATTTTTTGGATGAAACTGAATAAACTCTTGCTCCAGGGAAAGTTCTTCCAGCTGGAAATCTATGGTGAGTTACAAGTGGCAGCCCCAAATAACATGGAGGCTGGGGAATCACCTAAGTGATCCCAGAGTCTGTGATGTGAATGCTGCTGCCATCTATTGATAACTTATAGCTCACCCAAGGACCTGCAGCACATCCTTGTCACCCTGAGCCAGCCTCTCCCTCCTCAATTTGGCCACTACCCCTGCAGAGGAGCAGAGCTGCAGCCACAGCCCCCTCTGCCCTGTGCTGCTACGGGGCTGGGAAAGGAGAAAGGATGGTCTGAGGAGCAAGGACTGACATTTGGCTTTCACTCTTTTCTCTGCTGAGCCCTTACACATGTCTAGCAAGGAAAACAAAGGCAATGTTGCAGATTGCATGTGTCCCGGACACCATAATGACAACAGCAGTGTAGGCTGGGTAATACTCAGAACACACACTCTCAATGAGGGCTGAGTGAGTGCTGCAGCAATTAAAGGACTTTGGAGGCCATCTTTAGTTCCTTTTTATTTAACACCACAACGGCATTTAAATACCACGATTCAGATTGGACAAAGGGGTTCCATTTTCTGCAGAAAACAAAAATCTTCAGAACCAAAATGAAAACCAGAAAATGTTCACATCAGATTGTAAAAAGTATGTGATTTCACCCCAAACCTAATTAATTTCTCTTGAGATCAGTGCACTCTTTTCTGGGTTATGTTTTTTTTCATTTGATTTGGAGGCAGAAATGAAAAAAATCAAGTACGGAAAGGGTGTGGGCAGAAAGGATATCATTTATGAGAGTAACTGATACTGCTGGAAAAAACAGACCAGCCTTCAGGCACAAAATGCTGTTTGTTTCTTCCAGCTCTATCAGCTGGTCTCATAAAAGCTATTCCTTCTTCTTCCAAAATTATTCCCACTTATCTCCTGAGCCTATCCTGCCTGCAGGCATCCATCTACTGAAACAGCAGTTCTAGAACTGACCAACATTTAGGCATGACAGACAAATCTAGAAATTGCAGTGGCAGCTAGTTAAACCCTATCTATTTGTACAGATTCTTGTGTCTAACCCAAGACTAAAATAGTTCCTTAATCAGAGGGCAGATGATTAACAAAATATGATGTTATTAATTCTACCATCATCAAGAGCTGAGCACAGCCAGTCCCTGTCCTGTCTCTTGTTGGTTCCCCCACAGGCCTCACAGCATGCAGAGAGAAGCAGAAAACCTGATCAATATGTAAAAGTGCCCACCCAAAACAGGTCTGTGACCACATCCTTTGAGCAGAGTGAGCAGCAGATTATCCCAACTTGATGATTTTTAGAAACAGATGGGTTTAATAGCCCATTACTCTTTTCCAGAGACCAAAATCAAGGAGGAGAAATGTAGGTGACGCTTCAGAGAAACTCTCCATAATAGCACTTCAAAGTGGCAATGGCACAAGCTTCTCGATGCAAGGAAACAGGCATTGAAGTGCACGTGATGTGTGTGAGCTTGAGTCATGCCAAACTGTCTCATGCAGTCCTACACAAGCCAGCACAGTGTCACCAGCTCCTTAGCAGCACACGTCACTGGAGAGCACCCAGCCCACCTGGGGAAACGCTGCATGACAGGGCCTCAGCACCACTCTGCCCCAGGACTTGCCTTGAGCTTTACATCCCACATATCCTTCCCTTTTTCTGCAGATCCTCATTCTGGCCCTGTTCTGCTGGATGAGAAATTAGCATCTCGCTGTGGCTATGTCCTGTCAGAAGACGTGTGGGGCAATCCCGTCTTCCGCGCCTCGGCGCTCGGCTGTCACGTGGCCAATGAGGTAAGGCCCAGGCACTTCCAGGCCTTGGAAGCAGCTCAGGCAGTACATCTTCTCCAAAAACACAAGACTGAGATAGTATATGGCATTCTAATGGCATGATTTGAGAATACTGAACTCAAGGAACTAGTGTTGGGAGTGTAGTGTGGAAATGAATAGGCAATGGCTCTCTGCTGTGAAGTTTGCCCAGTGTGACTGACATGGGATTTCCTCTCTCCATGGAATGACACTTATCCTAATGCTGCTGAGTAGCTGCCAGTTCTCAAGCATATCCTTGTAGCTGCTGATTTGCCAGAGAGTTTCTTGAAAGCCTCTCTGGAAAGAAGTAGGCATCTGCTTGAAAAAGCAATGTTTGCAGTGTGATTCTGGCAGATCATTTCCTGGCTTAATTTGTGTGGTAATGTGCCTGTTAACACATGCCTAGGAACGTAGATCACACACGTCTATTAGACCCAGATTTGCCTCACGTAACTTTAGCCATCTAAAAGATAATGTCTAGTCTAAACTAGTTGTTTGCTCTTCCACAATAGTCAATGGAGAGAAGCAGGCATCTCCAGAAGGTGATTCACCCCTTCCAAAAATATGTGTAAAAATGTAGCCTGGATTTCTAATTTCTAAATGTTAGTTGAGATGAAATATACCCAGAACCAGAACAAATCAGAGTCGAAACTTCATTTCTTGTCCATGTTTAGTCTGGTTGGTCCTGGAAGCCCCACAGAAAAAATATGGTAAAACTTTATAGGGAGAGTTAGCTAACAAGAACGGGGGTGTACAGTGTGCTGTGCAATGACCTGGATTTCCAGGCTGGAAATTTCTCTGTAAAGGTTTTGCCTTCTTCTGTAGAAAAATACACATCTATGTCAGATAGAAGGACAGTCCATGGCTTTGTGTGTGGCTTCTGGGGAGCTGAAGAACCAAAAGGATATTTTTTACTGGACTTAGTCTAGTGTTAAACATTAAATAGCATTGTAGATTAGGTCTGAACTACTTAAATCAAAACAAAAGTTCCAGTACTTTCTTTGTGTGGAGACACACAGAGTCACAAAGAGAAACATGAATCTCATGGTAAGGTAGGTCAGGTCTGCCCTTGACCGGCTGCTCCTTTATAGTGTGGCAAGAACAGAGCTGAGACAGAGTCTGAGGCAGAGGCTGTGAGTGCTGAGACAATGTCCCTGGCTCAGTAAGACCCTGCATACAAACGATTTCAGACAGGGTGGTATGTTGTAGGAGCTGTTACTGCAGTTCTCAAGCTGTTCTCATCATTATAAAACGCTCTCAGAAACAGAACATGAAACAGTCCCATGCAGCCACTCCTGGAACCTTCCACACCATCTGCTGAATTGCCAGTTTTTCTTCCCAGGCAGATGAGCTGTTTTCACTGACTGTGAACATCAAGGTCTCCTCATTTTCAAGCATGAGGGCAGCTGTCACCTACACCTACCCCATGTACTGCTCCTATGCATCCTGGGCTTCAAGAGAAATTGTGTGTGAAGAAAACTACATGGAGGTAAAAACCTTCCCACTGAAGGCAAGGCTACATCCAAGTTCCCTGCCAGGCACAGCAACCTCCACAAAATCCTGTCAGAAGTTGATTGTACCCCATGTACCAGGCATAACAGAAACCTGATATTTAGCAGAGTGTGTAACTGTATATCTGATTAGTAACACATTTACATGCCATAAATATTTTGTATGCAGTGAAACTCAGTTAACTGTACAGATGAATTAAGGCAAGCCTCTGCAAGCAAATCAACAGAGAGGCTTAAGGCCAAGCTCTTAAGCTCATGAGAGTTCCTCTTGGTTATAAAGTGCTGCAGCAGTGAGAATGTCATCTTCATATCTGAAATAATAAAACCTAGAGTTTGCAGAGCTGCATCTCTGCTGAATCACACAACTCACAGGACGTGACTGTGAGACAGGAGCTGACTCCTGCCAGGTGTGCAATTGGGCTGCTTGGCCTGCTGCCATCGCCTCCACACCAGTGTAGAAATGAGGCAGCAAACAATCCAAATTTCATTGCTTTCTGTGCATGCCTGCAACAGGCAGGAGAAAGAAAGCATATTTCTCCTGTCAGAACTCAAGGCTGCGCAGTCATATCTGGGTTGCAACACAATGAAACCATGGTACAGGTGTCTTCTGACTGTCCTGTTTCCTTGCCTCACTCTGCAGCACATGTGGGATTTACACCACAGCACCTGCCTTAGGTACTGGGGACCCTGCATTTTCAGGTTTTCAGCCTGCATGGGAAGAGAGAACCAATCCTGTTAATGCCAATGACCTGCTTTCCTTCACCTCCAGTGGAGAGACCCAACTTTCATTTTAAGGCCACAAAAATTACTGCTACCAAGAACCTCCATGGAAACACTTTAATTACCTCCAATGAATGCAAACTGATAAATTTTGATCGATACTGTTCCCCATGCCTGTAAGAGTACTGAAGATCTGTTTGCTCCCATTGCTCCCAAAGAATCTCCTCTGTCCCCAGGTGTCAGTGAAGACTGATGTCCCAGCAGTTTCAAATGACTACACCGTAGCATGGATGTCAGCACTGCCAGAGGTATGAAGGGGAGTCTTTCCTATCAGTTCCTAGCCTGCCTTTTCTCTCTGCTCTTATGAGTCATTCCTGGAGCATAGCTCCATCTCAGACAAAAAAAGGGAGATGACAAATTTGCCGTCAAGTACTGAAAACCTCTCAAGTATTTTTAGACCTCTAGACTGCAAAAAGACATTTAGGTGGGAGAACAGAGTCACACACTTGTTCCATTAGTGGAAACTGAGTTCAAGACAAACAAAGGTAGGTGGTTCTTCACACAATGGGTAGTGAAACTGTCAAACTCATCTCCAAAAGATGTTGTGGCTGCTAAAAGCTTACTTGATCCCAAGGAAAGTCTGGAAAAGTTGACTGAAGAGAAATCCAATAAGACACACAAAATACAAAGAAGGTACAGATAGCTCAGGAGTCACTGAGATGAAAAATATTTGAGACTGGAAAGAATGAGTGGGAAATTATGACAGGAGCATCTATCTTATGAGGAAAAGCTGAGGGAGTTTGGCCTGTTTAGACTGGGAAAGATTAGGAGAGGATCTTAGTACAAGTATCTGAAGGAAGGGTGTCAAGAGGATGAAGAGGTTCTCCTCAGTGATGCCCAGCAGTAGGACAAGAGAGCAGACAGAAACTGATCCACTGGAAGTTCCACCTGAATGTGAGGAAGAATGAAACAGATTGCCTAGAGAAGGTGTGGAGTCTCATCTGGAGAAATTCAAAAGCTGCCTGGACACAATCCTGAGTACCACGCTCATGGGGAAGCTGCTTAAGCAGGGAGGTTGGACTGGATGGCCTCCAGTGGTTCCTTCCAACCTTAACCATTATGTGATTCTGTCAAATACATATGCTTGTCCCATGTTTCTCATGTCTTACTTGCTCCTGATGCCCATTTTCCTTTTGACTGTGCTCCCATATGGCCATCACTGCAGGGGACTGTGTTCTAGGCCAGTACAGGCATTGCTCTCTTCTTATGTTTAACACAGTATGGCTACACACTGTCAATGGTAGTCTGTCATTTGGACCCTGGACTGCTCCAGCAGTCAGTAGACATGGGGACAATCAGTTTCTTAACAACACAGATATTTTGTCCACAGTGGATTTGTACAAGGCCACCTGTCTACGTTTCTTCCAGGGCTGCTAGAAGAGTATCCCTACAGATACCTTAAAGAGCTCTAGAATTCCTTATCTTTACATATTCATATATATAGATATATATATATATACATACACATATATATCTCGAGGGTATTTCTTGCCTGAGATGACCTCCTAGTGTCATTTCAGTTACTCCTACTTCTAACAGGAAAACAGGCACTACAGTATCACTACTCAGCTTTTTGAGAGACATGGAACTGATATAGCTCATCTCTCTCTTGCAGACTCAAAATGTTGCATACCAGCAATGGCAACTGATGTTTGTTTCTCCATCAGGGAGAAAGAGAATAACAGTAAGTGATGCAGTAAAACTGGGCTACAGCTTCAATAACAGCCTGTCCCGAGTGTACCTGCGAGCGCCCTACCACAGCAACGAGTCTGATGTCAGCGTGGTGAGTTGCTGATCCCAGCCAGACACAAAGCTCTGCTGTTCCCACTGTCTCTCCAGAACATCAGCTCTCTTTTTCTGCCTGGGCTCAAACAGGTCAGTGGTGTAAATATGAACATGATCACTTCCACTTCCATGTACAGGCAGCGGTGGCTGCTTTTGCTGATTGACACAACGGTCTCCTGTCCTGTTGGTAAGGATCTCTTCCTTCTGCACTAAAAATAACCACCGAAGGAGGTAGTAGAAAACACTGTCTTCCCATTCTCACTAAGAGAAGAGGTTTACAAGCTTCCCTCAGAGCAACATGAGCTAAGAGTCTGTGGCTTTAGTCCTGGACAAACACAGTCCCTGCTGTGACACTGTATTATTTGTGTTCCCAGTGCAGTGTCATGTCTCTGGTTTCTCAAATCCCCACATTAGATGCAGGGAACTGGAAACAAGCAAAACTATAGAAGAGCCAGGGAGCCTCCCCTGGACTAATCCCACAGCCTTGGCTCTTTTTTTCCCATACTATTCCATGCAAGGCATACAGCTCTGCATCCTTGAAACTCACATAATCCTTTTCTCTGGAGAGGCAGGACTGGCCTGGCTTTTTCCAGAGAAGTGGTGGCTGCACCTGGCTTTCACAGCCTTAATAATCTCACAAAGATTATTAATTTGAAGAAGTGATGAGGAAGCACAAGGTTTTAAGTTGACGAGACCTTGAAGCCAATATTTCAAGAAGGTCCAAACAGGTTGCTCTGTGCCCTCTTCCTTCTGCCAGTAAGCCCTGGGACAAGAGAGCAGGTAGCTGGGAGCACAGCTGCCACTCTTCTGAATAAATTTTTACCTGCCAGTTCTTCTGAATAAATTAATTATTCGCCTGAAATTGATTCAGGTCTGCTTCGAGCTCCAGGGTCTCTGTGACAAAATAGCCATCATTTGGCTAATATCCTACAAGGTGTTGCATCAGTGAAAGCTGTAGAGATATCCTGGTGAAATGGAATCAGGGAAAGGCAGAGACAGGACTGAGTGGTAACTCCAATTGCCCCTTCTCTGGAGCTGTCTATCTAATTCCACAGATGGCATCAGCTTCACCGATACCACGCTAACATGGACCGTGCCAAGAGTTATCCCCACGCTAGTGGTCCAGGAATCCACCTTTCTGTCTAAAAGCATTGTAATGGGAGTGGATGATCAAGTCATAGTGAATCCAGAGGAGATGAACTACTTACTGGAGTACAACGAGACACACATCAGAATAACCATCCCTACTGGAGCAGAAGGAGGCAAGCTAGAGGTGAGTACAGACCTGGCACACACAAATACATTTGAGGGCCTGTACTACAGATGTTTCCAAATCATGATAAATCCAAATACTGATTGACTGCTGCTAAAAATTTGCAGATACAATAAATATTTGAAGAGCTAGATGCTCCTGTAAGTAAGTGCTTTGAAAGCACTTACTCAGAAACTAGGAATTTAAAATGACAAAACACGGTGGAAGCAAGAGGTTGCCTTTTGCTAATAATCTATAAGACATACTAATACATTAAGAGTGGAGGGATTTCTGGACATTGGAATTTAATTGTCTCTGTTGTTCAATAATGAAACTAGTCCTGGTAAACTTCTTGCCTAGCTCAATGAGTAATTTCCCTGCCAATTTCCAAGACAGCATGATTTAGCAAGGGACAGGTTCTCTGCATGTTGTTGGGGTGCAGTCACCTGCTTTGAACATAGTTTATTCTTCATCAATATATAATTTACAGATACAGAGACAATGTCAAAAGGAATGTTCAGTAGAACAGAAGAGAATAGTTTGGGATGGAAGGCACTTTTAAAGACAATTTACTCCAGACTCCACTGCCATGGGCAGAAACATCTTTCACTAGATCAAGTTGCTCAAAACTCCACCCAACTTGAACAACTAGAAAGGAGTTGGCAATATTCCTCAAGATGGCACTGGTGTGATTTTTACTTATCCCCTTCTTGAGTTCCCTATTTGTGTAACAGATAGAACAAGAGACATGACTGGTAATACAGGGATGGTAAAAAAAAACAAAACAATATGGTGATGTGATAAATTTAATGAGGACACCCCTGATACTTCCTTGTTAAAGATCTCAGCAGTATCTGAGCCACACATGGACCAGACTAATGGGCCAAGCTACCAAACAAACAAGCAAAATCTCCTAGCAAAATCCATCCCAGGCTGTACTAGAATACCATTTGCTCTTCCTAGTGTGATAATTTTAACCATATTCAGTCGAATCTTCATTAAGCTACTGAAATTAAGATTTAATCACACATTTTACCTGCTAGAGCTCCATATCTGGTGGTGTCTACGGAGTCATTTACTGCATTGACCTGTTTCTGGAGCACACGTGGACGGATGCAGATTGGCAAACCACGAAGTATACAGTCATCAAAACCATCACCACACCTTTCATGCCACAAATACCAACTGTTACCAACAGTAAGTCTTTCCTCTCATTGACTCTTACCAATCTTCTGCTGTGCTATACATTGCTCCACCCAACCTATGCCACACATCTACATTCACCAGAATGTTCTCAACTCCCACTTACAATTTTCTAGGCAAAGTCAAGTTTCAAGTGTTATATTCAAACAAACAAACAAAACAAAACAAAGAAGAGCCCTTTAGTCTTAACTTATAAGTTGCTGATAAAAATGTAAACATTCCTTTCGTGTTAATACCTGGATTTTTCCAATGAGCACTGGAATAAAGATGTAGTGATGTGCAGTTATCACACTGGGAAGAACTGTCTAAGGACAGCAGTCATTGATGGTATTTTCTCCCCCAAACTGCCTGCATTTGATACCTTGGGAGCATACTGAAATCATTGTGCCACCCAGTGCTGCAGTCATGGTTTTTAAATTTTATTTCCCGATGCATTAAGGCACTAATGATTCTTGGAATTGTCTGGATAAGTGATATAAAAAGAAAAAGGAGCCTCTTACCATACATTATGATAATTTTTTCAAATTTTATGTAGCTGAACTAGATTCTAGATTTCTTTAAAGGTATTGCACATCATAGTGCACCTCTAGAAAGTCACTGAACCCACTTTCTATAAAGTTCTATGTATTTGTTGTTAATCCCCTGCATCTTGAAGCAATTCTCATGTACTCAAGAGTATTTCAGATCTGACTAGAACACAAACACTCATTAATCAGAGCCATTAAAGAGATGGCTGTTGGCTAAGTTTCCTGGAATTTGAATGGGAGGCCACCCCAACGTCTTCCTTATTTGATCCACATCAGCAGTAATTTGATGCTCTCTCCCTGCAGACACTGTGCCAGAGGAACGGCTATTTAATCTTGCATTTGGACACTTTCTTCCCGATGTCTCTCTGGTGGCAATCACAGTAAGAAATGTGCCATTTTCCCTGAGGGAAGCACAGCACCATGGCTTCAAGATTTATGAAACTCCCTTTTCTAATGGAACAAAAGCATTTATCCTGGAAGTCTCTTTTGATGATCCATATGTTCTGAAAGAGGTAGGATACAGCAGGTCACTTCAGCAGCAGAGTGCAGGAGGTGGGGCAGTCCCTTTGCAGAGCATGGTTCAGCTTTTATCAACCAACAACTGTTCCTTGATCATAAAGGTGTCAATGAGTCTGAGATCATCTGAGTTAAGATTAGAGGCTTTTATGTCCCCACCTTGCTCTCCATAGATCTCTAGGAGATCAGCATCAAGTGTAATTAGATGGGATGAAATGTTACTTCCTGTAGTGCCTGTCAGCATGGCTAATGTCCAGGTGCACACACAACAGGAAGAGGTTGTCAAGTCTGTATTAGATGAAACAGGAGTGTCTTGGAAAAATAAATCGATTATTGCAATGCTGGCAAACACCAGTTTCAAAAATCCAGTAACTCCTGAACCCACTGTTTGACTGCTGGCACAGGCCATGCCCCGTGCGAGCATGCTACAGGCAGGCTCAGGGTACTCTAAATGTAATTTTGTTAAGCTTCAGACCATTTGTAATCTAAATATTTGTAAAAGGTATATACTCACAGAGGGATTTCAACCTCTCATTTCAGTGGGAGGATGCATAACAGCAAGTCCTCTACCACTCTTTCAATCAAACCACGAAAGGGCTGTGATGCTGTTACAAGGAACAACATTGTGAACACACAGGATTTCTGCAGATAGTCTTCAGGCTGCAGTCAAACCACAGCCAAATTGCATTAAGGATCAAAGCAAGAAAAGAAAAATCTAGAAGTATTTCTTTCAGGTTGAACACCAGGTTTTGCTTTGGGAGCACTTTCAGTGAAGGAAAAGAGGATATTGAGAGGGAACTCTCACAGCATCTCCTCACACCTTCTGTTCAACCGATCACTCCTGGTTTCAGCCCACACTCTGACTAAAGAAGAATAAGGATTTGGACCTGGATCTGCCTCTATGAGCTCTTTCACCATTGGGCTACAGAGGAACCACCACTGCGTTCACTTCTGTCTTCATTTTCTGAAAAGGCACAACGTTCTCCACGTTTATGTTTGGCTGAAAGAGCTGTTGAATCCAGGCCAGATTTCTGAATAGCTTTAGGCCAGCTGAAGCGATGCTTTTGGAACCTGAGCTATTTGCAGGGGAGAGGAGGGTGTTGGAATAATTATTTAGTGTTGTTCAGAATATACATGCCTGCCTATTCTGAAAGCTGCTGCAGCTTTACTCCTCTCTCTTTCAGTATGTGAATAGAAATGAAACAAAATACACCCTCCTGGTCAACTACACCCTTAGCGTGGGTCCAGAGATGACACTCTACTATCATTCAGCAGAGGTGGAGTGTGTGATTGCTGATATTGGTAAGCTTTCCCCTGACATTAACTGGTTTGCATCAACAGCATGGCTGTCATTGAATTCAGTGAGAGCATCAGAGTGAGGGTGAGAGCTTTGGGGAAAACCCCACCCCTGCACAGCTCATTGTTGGTAACAGCCAAGTTGCTGCTCCACTGATGGCAGCTCTTCTGCATACTGGCAAGACAGTCTGCCCTCGAGACACTGAGAGCAATAAAACAAGTGTGTAGAAGAAGTTGGCTTGCAAACTTCAGTGTGAACAAGATGCCTCAGAACATGAACATACATCTACTGGCAAAACTTTCAGACATTGCTACAAGTTTCAGTTTGTCCTCAAACACAATTCTGCCTGCACATCCAGGGCAGAACTTAACTGACTCAAAAACATTGCTGTAATCTCCAAAGACAGCATTTCTGTAAGGAGAAATCATCCACTAAGAGCTGTACATAGCAGGTTGCTGAAACAGTCAGGTCTCTTTGGTATTTTCTCAAATTTATTAGATTTTTGCATGCCACAAAGATGACATGTCCTCGCTGTCCTATTTTATCTCTGAAATAGCTCTTGGTTCAGCTCAAAGGCTGATCAAAAAATGTATTTACGTACATAGCTCAGCTTGCCTTACTGAAACAGGGAACAGTCCTGGAAGTAAGCTGGCAGCCCCAGCTGGAGCAGGACTCCCCTGCTCAGATGTCAGCTGGTACACCCCCGACAACACAGCCAAGCCCTGCAGACAGAGCCAGCATGCACATTGCTGCTGGGGTTTCTCACCTGTGACAGAAATCCCTGCCTGGGCCAAACCTCAGCACTCTAACTTCCTTCATTGCTGACTCTTCATCCCACCTTCTTCCCACAGAAGTACCTGAAGCAGTTGGTTCCTGCGATGAAGAAAACCTGTATCTAACCCTGCCCACTTTTGGCTTGCACCAGTACTGGGAGCTGTACCTTGGTAACAAGCTCCTGAACCGGCACCTTGCCCTCACCAATGGGTACCTTGCAGCCACCAACTCCACACACCTGATCTTGCAAATACCTCTGTTTGCTGGGGGACTCATCTATGAGGTACAGGAGCTGTTCAGCAATGCCTTTTCTAAAGCACATGAGACTGCTTGCTCTCACAGAGTTCTACAGTCACAGTAGTGCTGTGGTATTGCACATATTGGAAAACCTCCAGAGGGAAGGACTCTGAGACAGAGCAAGTAGGATAAGAGGCATTGGACATGGGCCCTTATGGTAATGCCATGTATTGTGCAATCTGCAGTCCACACTTGTCTCTAAAAGATATGCACCAAGTCTTCAAAAACAAACTCCTCAGTGTTTTTAGTAAGATGAGGCAAAATGTCCCATCTGCACTGAGCCAGAAACAATATTTCAATATATCTTTTATGAAAGAAGCTCTTTTAAAGGAAATTTTGCAGAAAATTAAGGACATGGCGGCAGGGGAAAATTGATGCTGTAATAATTTGAACTATTCTACAATAATCAGCCCAAATTTATCTCTGTGGCAGTGACTGATAAATTCATACAAGAAAATTCATACTTGTAGTTCTGCCCCCATGTAGCTTCAGGCTTAAGGCTTCACACTGATTTAACTCTTGTGACTTGTTAGTATTCAAGTGACACGAGCTATGGAGCAGAACTTGGTACATGTGGATGATGTACAGGAGATAACAGATCTCTTCCATCTCCTCCTTCACAGGAAGTGTCCTTTCAGAAAATCAAAGCAAGGTTTGATGTTGCCTTAAGGAAAGTGAGAACTATGGAGACCTTACAGATGTTCTCCATTAGCTGCAGTTTTAATTCTTCAGCATTTATAAGTAAGTTATACAACTGATCAATCAATGAAAAGATGTGTGATTCTTTCTTGAGCTCATAACCAACTCTGTCTTTCTCAGTATGCCACCCAGATGGTACCATAATGGTATCTGCCCAAATGAAGACAGTTCCTGCCATTGACATGAGTAAAACCAAGCTCAGGGACAGCTCCTGCAAGCCTAAGGAGTATAATGAAGCCCATGCCTTCTTCAAGTTCCATGTCACTACCTGTGGCACTTCAGTAAGGGTAAGTCCATGGCCAGAGCAGATACTCCTGCTGGAACTCTCTGCCTCTCCTGCATTTTCCCTTTTGATCCCCTGCCCCAGCTCCTGAGAAGAGTCAATTTACAATGAGCTTCCTATATGCACAGTTTGAAGGTGACCACATTATTTATGAAAATGAAATCTCCTATGAGAAAGAGACTCTTCCAGGACAGAGCATACCAACAATCACAAGAGATCCAGACTACAGGTAGGAGCTGCTGCTCACTGACACTGCTCACTTCTGTACAGCTGCTGGGAAACAGATGTGAACATAAAAATTGCTGTTTCTTCTATTCTAGACTAACGGTCTTGTGCTACTACCAAGCAAAAGAGACCCTAGTACTCGGTGCCTTCTCCAGGGACCTGGCCACATCCCCTTCCTTTGGCTCTGGGACCATGTTCCCACATTCAAATACTGCAGGTGTGAAATTCCCTTCCTCCATTTTTAAACTTCTCTGATTCTTTCCATCCTAAGTTCCCTTGTTAAGACATGCCTTACTATCACCTAAAGAAGCTCACTAACATTTCCTTCTCTGCAGCTTACAGAAGGGTAAGACAAGCTCTGAATGTAGTTTCAAGAGTGTCCAAAGGTAAATCTCCTTCTACAGAAATCAAAGAATATCCAAGTATGTTTTAGTTTAAATCATATTAAACAACAAAATCCCCTGACATTTTCTCAAGATGAATCCTTCATGGAGTTCTATGGGCCCAGCATGGCAATTCTCAAACAACCCATGGAGCCTGTATTTCTTGAGGTGGAGCTGAAGGACGAGAGCCCCAGTGCCGAGTTATACCTGGAAAACTGCTGGGTAGCCACATCTCCAGACTTCAACAGCACCCCAAGATGGAACATCACTGTGGATGGGCAAGTAGTGTTAAATATCCAATGAACTCATCAGCAAAGCCCTAATGTCTACTTATATCTGTTGATCTTTCCTCTCAAATAGGTGTGAGATGAATGGCAGTGAGTTTGCTGCAGAGTTCTGCCCGGTACCTGTTAGCCCCAGGGTGAGACACCCTCCTCACTTTAAAAGGCTGGCAGTAAGGACCCTGGCACAGCAACTGGAACAGGTAGGATTGAGTGAAAGGCTCAGCTCCCACTCATGGACCCTATCTGGAAGTCTGGATGATGCCCTCAGTCATGTGGCTTAGTTGGAGGTAGCAAGGAGAAGGAAGCTGGACTTGATGATCCATATGGGTCCCTTCTAACCTGGGATATTCTGTGACTTTATGCTTTGAGAAATAGATTTAGGCACCTCACAGACTTAAACCCCAGCCAGCATTTAACTCAACTACCCTAACTGGTGCATAGCTTTAATTCAGTTCTCTTCTTAAATCTCCTCTGCCACCTAGCTGACTTGAGATTGGACAGGCTGGAGTAAACAAAAGCATTTTGTATGTAAATATGATTTTTATATGGTGGTTCTGGCTTTGTGTAGGATCAGATTAATATCACTTCAGCTCAAAATGTCTAGAGGAGAAAAATCAATTTATATGTCCCAATATCCATATGAATTTCAGTTCTGCTGTCTCTCATCTGTCCTAGCCAGTCATCCATCTCCTCAGGTGTCAGACAAGCAGAGGCATGTGGGTTTGGCCTTAAAGGTCTCTAAGGACTAAGAAGAGCAGAGAAAAACCCAGGACAGTCACCTGAGGGTAATTTGCTCCTTGTGCATCCAGCTGAGTGAGCTGTCTGTCCTGACATGTACTGATAGCAGCCGTGGTGTGTTCACCCTGCCTGGGCAGCTCAAGTAACTGCATCGTTATTTACTCAGACTTTCACAGGCACCTCAACTCTTGAACTTGCTAGAAATGAACACGATGCAATTCTGGGTTGTGCTGCTTCCTAAGTGTGCAGCTGCAGCAGGCACCAGATTGAGTTCCTGTCTAGTTTTGATACACGGCAGCACGTGAGCGAATTTTAACTTCTCCTGTCCCAGCCTCTCAGTTACCAAACTGCTGAGGGCTTCCTTGACTCCAACTTTAAATTCAAGGCAGGTTCAGCTAGAAGGTGCCACATGGAGGTGTCCAGAGAAGCATAAGTCTAATCAGATGTAGTTTCTGCAAAAGGCAAGGACAAAATAATGCTCTGCATAGTGAGATTTGATATGGATCACGTTGCATTTTTTCTTCCTTTCAGATGTATGTGCACTGTTTGGTGGCAGTGTGCTTTCCTACCAACACACAACCTGGCAGCACCTGCAGAGGACAGTGCAGCTCAAGCAGGGAGAGGAAGGGTAGGTTGTGGAGGAGGAAAAGAACCATTGCAATGCACCCCTGACCTGATGTTTTCAGAGATTTAGGAGCTCTGACTTTGGCATCTGAAATGCCTCGAGCATGGACTGTAAACATGGATGTCACCTTTAAGCATGTATGTGTTCTTTAAAAACTACACAAACACCCTGTGTATCATTCTCAGGCTTTCCAGGTCACCCTTCTGACAGTCTCCAGGGCTATGTACTTGCTGGACCAGTATGGACTGTTGCTCCAGATCGAAGATGACACACATGAACTGAATTTGGTAAGAACACCAGGCCCTGCGTACTCTCCCCGAGAGGTCACCATGCTTTGTGACACAAGCAATGCAGAGCCTGTCCTCCAGGACCTCAGAAATAAAAGTTCTGGGACAAGAACAGGGAATGGAGATGGTTTGCAGTCCCATGGTCTCAGCTTGAGCCCATGAGAGAGGGAGGAAGGAGAGCTCCCTGCCAAGCCAAACACAGCTGGTGTGGCTCTGGAGCAGATGCCAGCAGCAGAGCAGGGCAGGCTGGACTTGGGCCATAGCAGGCAGTTTTGGAGCCAGGTATTATTTCAACAGGTTTTCAACAGGACTGCCCCCAGTCTGAGAGAAAACAGATCCAAAATTTTAGAAACAAACACTAAGGCACTAAGGCATGCTGCCATATTCCAAATGCTTTTGAATGGTTCAAATCCTCCAAAGAGTAAGGTTTCTCCTATAGCTTCATCCACCCTTGGACAACCAGAACTGCTGAGCTGTCTGCTCCAGCATCACTCCTCACTTCAGCAAATGTGTGTGTCTCCAACAGCACCTGAAGGCTCTGCTGTGCTGGCTGCTTTCCAAATGGTGCCACTGGACACAGGAGCTACTGCTTCCAGGAACCACCAGAACTATTTGCATGAAGCTTAAATACCAGATGGTGGGACAGCACTGAAAAGTTCTTGAGTCTACCAACAGGATCAGTAAATCTTGCAACTTGTTGCCTCTCTGAAGTGGCTACAGAAAAAAACTTAGCAGAAAATGACCCAAGGCTGCAAAATAACACTTTGTGTCTCTTCCAGATGCTCAAATATGGACTTGCAGATCACTAAAATTATTCCAGCCCTGATTATGGCTGCTTCTTGTAATACTTCATAAAGTGACTGCCAATCCTCCTATCTGAATGTAAAGTGCAAATCTGAAAAGTCAAATAAAAATACACCAGAGCAATGTAAGCACAGAACATCTCCTTGCTAATGCGCAAGAGTAGCCATCTGCTGTACCAGCACTGGCTTCAAAGAGCCAAGCAATCGCTGCCAGCGCCCCTCCAGCATGCAACACTAGGGCACACACTTCTTCCCACTAATGCAGAGCTTTGTCTGTATCATGACATCAACCTGACCTTCCTGGAAACCTGTTAGTTCCTCATTTTCCTCTCACCTGCCCCTGTAAGGAAAAAGCTAACTCTACAAATTGTGAGTAGATGGATACTGTAGTATGAGCAAAAATGACACCTGGTATTTTTTGTTTATGTGCACACAGAAAGCTTGCTTTTTTTGTTTTAATTCTTATTAATTTTTTGAGATCAAGTACAAACCTGACATGTGACCACCTGTAATCACTCTCAGGATGTGCCTACAGTGTACCTGCAGGTGTGGCTGCAGCACATGCAGATGTTCACCAGCAGTGCAGAGGGGGCAGGTGGCACACTCCTGCTGACAGCACACTCGTGTGCAGTCTCCAGAGGGTTTCCCAGCTCCTGCAGCCCCTGCCTCCCCAGCCTGCCTGGTCAGTGCACACACGTGGCCCACTTCCCAAAAGCTGCAGTCCTGCCTGACATGATTGCTGAATAGATGCCCTCTTAAAGTTGTACCTGCTGAAGGAGTAAGATCTGTGAAAAGGAATGGGAGGGTGCTGTGACCCCAGGGCCCCGCAGCAGCTGCCTGGGTGCTGCCTTCCTCTGCTGCATGAGCAGTGCACTCTGCTGTCCACAGCCCACACTGCAGAGCCCAGTGACTGCATTTGCCATGCATGCATTTGCCAGGGGAGCACACTCCCTGTTTTCAACAGCAGCAGCAAATTTATAAGTTTAGGTTAACTTTCTATTAATCTGAAAAGCAGTCCTCTAGAAATCTGTAGACTAGGATGAAGGGAAAATAATAATGACCAAATGCTAGCTCTTCTCAGCACTCTCAGACCACAGAGGTGAGCACCAGGTCTGGTCTGGTGTAACTGAGGTTCACTTTGTCTTGCAGCTTTGCAGAGTATATTTAGATAAACTTGTCTGCAGTAAGTGGGCTACCCCAGATCCTCCCCTTTTGCCCTGGAAAACCAGGAAGAGGTGCAGCAGCATTCCATACCCTTCCTCCACCACCTGATAGATGAGGAGACTTTTCCACATACATTGGAAGGGAGATGGAAAAGGAGAGACAGACTTGCATTCCCATTTCAGCAGGGATTTCAGGTTTCCCCCTTCCCAAAGACAAGCCAGAGCAATTCCAGTCCTTGGTCTCTTTCTCCTACCTTGGTTGCTGTTCATGGTGTAGATGATGATTTTCACACCAAATCTCACAGTGTGCTGGGTTAGGCGTTCCCTGTTTACCTTTGAGGGTGTCTTTCCCAAGGTGTGATTCAGCCACGCTATTGCACAGGTGCACTGCTCTGCACCTCTGTTCTCCTGGGATTATTCCTACCTCTCAGGTGTTGCAGAGGGAA